GCCAAGAGTCCTTTCACCCTAGTCCCAGCTACTTTGGAGGCTGAGACAGGAGGATTGCTTGAGCCCACAAGTTCAAAACCAGCGAGGACAACACAGTGAAAACTCATCTCAAAAAAAAAAAAAAAAAAAAATCCTTTAACCTGTCTTAATAGAATCTATACACAAGACATTTTGAGGTTTATTCTTTTGTTCTATTGTTTGCCCCAGAGTTAATAAACATTGACACTCAACTGAAAATGGAAATCAGTCTTTGAATTTTTCTAGATCAAGGTAGGATGCTCCACCGAAGCACCTGTCCTGGTGCATTTATGTCTCCCAACATGTGAAAGTTCATTCTGCCCCCTCTTTTACCAGGCTTCCTACCCACATTTACTTTGCAAGAATGATCCTTACAAAGTCTAAACTACTCTTTGTAAAATCCTTTGTTGTCTTCACTTGATTCTTAGAATAAAGATAACCTTTTATTATGACTGCTATAATTTCTATCTTGTCAGCTTTTTAAAAAATCTCCCCACTAGCTCAAATAGCCTCTTTGGTGTACTGCAGCCTGTGCACTTCTGTTCCTTTTCCATATAGTGTTCTTCTCATCCCCTTTTGCTCAGTTAACTCCAGTTCATGGGTATCTAATCTTAAGCATCAGTTTCTCAGACAGCCTTGAATAGATCAAATCTCGCTGTGATAGGTTTTCATAGCATCTTTTTCTTCATTGAAGACTATCACATTTGCAGCTTTATATTTATTTGTTTAATTATATAATATTTGTGTTCCCACACTAGACTACAGGATCCAGAAGGGAAAAAAATCTAATTTTGTTCCTTTTCATGTCCCACAGTCCCTGATAAATAGTAAAAAATTGGTGGTTGTGGGGGTTGGAGTTGTGGCTCACTGGTAGAGTGCTTGCCTCACATGTGTGAGGCACTGGATTCATTTCTCAGCACTACATATAAATAAATGAGTAAAATAAAGGTGCATCAATAACTAAAAAAAATATTTTTTAAAAAATTGGTGTTTGGGGTTGGGGATGTGGCTCAAGCGGTAGCGTGCTCGCCTGGCGTGCGTGCGGCCCGGGTTCGATCCTCAGCACCACATACAAAGATGTTGTGTCTGCCGAAAACTAAAATAAATATTAAAAAAATTTTCTCTCTCTCTCTCTCTCTCTCTCTCTCTAAAAAAAAAAAAATGGTGGTTGGAAGGAAGGACTGATACTCTTACTAGTAATAGAATCTCTTGATCAGTTATTAATCTCCTTAAGAAATTAAATGGAAGGAAAAGCTAGAAGTAAATTATACAGGCCAAATCCTTACTTGTTTAGTGTATAGCTATGTATCTAAATCATTTAGAGTCAGATCTCTGCTCTGCTAATAGCTAGTAAATAGTGATAAAATTCAAAACAAAAATGGGGAAAAGATCAAGTGAATCAGCACATTCTGCTTCTAGTTTAAAAACATTTTATGATTCACTTTGACTTCCTATAATATTTTTTAAGAATATCCAAGCAGCATCATTTATTCCCATAAATATTTCACTGTATATTTCCAAAAGATAAGAACACTTTTCAGAATACATACCTAGTATCATTATCATATCCCCATTGAAGCTAATAGTAATTCCTTAATAGCATCAGACATTCTGTCAATATTCAAATTTATAATTTTTTCATAAATGTCTTTTTCCTAGGTTTTTTTGGGGGGGGGTTGTTTGGGGTTTTTTTGTTGTTATTGTTGTTTGTTTGTTTTGTTTTTTGTTTTTTTTACTTTGGGCCCAGATAAGGTCCATGAATTTGGATTTATTATTGAATCTCTGAATCTAATTTATAGGTGACATCTCTTTTGTCTCTTTGAAGAACTGAAGTTGTTTTTCTTACAGTTTTCCATACTACAAACTTTATTGATAACATTCACATGATATAGTTTAACATATTCTTTTATCTTCTGTATTTCCTATGAACTGGTAGTTGGATCCAGAAATTTGATCAGATTTGGGTTCAGTCTTTTTTGGGGTACTACATTTATAGAGGTAACATGGTGGTCTTCTATCAGGAAGCACATAATATTCTGATGTAAGACCATATTACCATATTAACAGTCATTAATAACACCTAGCTCCATTAATTCATTAGGAATTAATTACAGAATTAATTGAAATACTTGTGTTAAGAGAAACTGCATCTCCTACTTGATTACTTTTCAATGCAGTTTGTACCCAGAAAATCAAAGAAAATGTTTGTATCTTTCTGCTCATCTGCCTGGTTTCACAAGTTGGAAGCCAAAATTATGTTTGAAGTAGAACCTTTTTGAGTTACTTTCTAAAGTTACTTCCAAACAGAAGCCAGGTATGGTGCCTCACACTTGTGGTCCCAGCTACCTGGGAGGCTGACACTAGAGGATAACTTAAGCTCAGGATTTTGAGGTGAGCCTGGGCAAGATAGCAAAAGTGTCTCAAAAAAAGAACAAACATTAAAAAAAAAAAAAAAACTTTAAACTGGGCACAGTGGTACGTGCCTATAATCCCAGCAACTCAGGGGGCTAAGGCAGGAGGATTGAAAGTTCAAGGCCAGGCTTAGCAATTTAGTGAGGCCTGATTAACTTATTAGGTGCAATCAAAATAGATTGTATCCCAACTTGCTCAGTGTAACTGTCAGACACAATCACTCTATTCCTCCTCAACAAATATTTGAATGGCTTTCATGGCAGTGTGTATTTAAAGATGAATAAAAGAAAACCAAAAAATAGACAAAGAGAAATTCTGATATGTATTTGGAGAGGTTCCCTTTTGCTGAGAGCCAATTGCCGCAGTCTGGCTGGGCACAAATCACGAGCCACTGAAGCAGGAACAAACTTTATTTTTGAACTGCAGGAAAACACTTCACACAGCTCCCGGGGAATCCTCCTGAACGCCACGAGGCTTGTCCAGGAACCCCCAGCCGGAAATATCTCTCCCGGAAATCCCTCCTCCTGCACTTCCCAACCAATGGGAACTCTCGGGGAATCCCCGGAAATCCCCACGAGAACTCCAAAATAGTGCGAGAACTCAAAAGTTGTGGCAGAGTCGGATAGTAATGCCTTGCCTGTCAATCAATACTGTTGGCAAAATGCCAGGGGCCATACAGACTCGGCCGTGGCTCTCAGCACCCTTATTCATTTTTCTTATCCCCACTTCATTACTTCCCAGGTTATTTTTTCACTTCACTATTAATCTTTTCCCTACCCCTTTCACATAAAAGATAATATAAAATTCAATTATCAATTTTCAACATACATTTACTAAGCATCTACGTTATATCAATAATGTACCCTGCCATATAGTAGTGAACAATATATATGCTCCCTTTTCTTCAAGAAGCTTATAAACTAGAAGACAGTCAAGCAGTTTCCAAAAGTGTGTTAAATACTCTTGTAGTACATAGAGCTACAGAAATACATATTAGAAAACTAAAATTGTGCCACGTACAATGGCACACGCCTATAATACCAGCAGCTCAGGAGGCTGGGGCAGGATGATTGCAAATTCAAAAGCCAGCCTTAGCAAATGTGAGGTGCTAAGCAACTCAATGAGATCCTATCTCTAAATAAAGTACAAAACAGGGCTGAAGATGTGGCTCAGTGGCTTGTGCCCATGAGTTCAAACCCCAGTACCAAAAAAAAGAAAGAAAACTAAAATTAAACCTAATTTTTAGGTAAAGTTGTTCCTGGAGAAAGATATAAATTAACTTTATATGACATCTGAAAGATCATCAGGCAAAGTAGACATGATCTTGGTGAAAGATGATGGTGGTCTGAAAGTTTCTTCTGTGACCCTCAAATTTGAGAATCATTTCATCAACAGATAATCTGAATATCTCAAAATATTTAGGAAATAGACTCTTTCAGGTTTTTATTAGAGGTTGGGTTTGAGGACTAAGAGAAGGAGAAGTCAAGAATGACTTCCAGATTTCTGTTGTAGGCAACTGGAAGGATAGTGGTGCAATTTAGTGATAACACAAGATGAAGAGGAGGTTAGTGAGGGAAAATAATGTTTAGTTCTGAAAATGTTAAGTTTGCAGGTCTTAAGTTGGAATTAAGAAAAGTGAACAATGTGATCATTGAAGGTGTGGAAGATCTTTGCATCCCTAATGAATATATGTGGGAATATGAAAACTTAGACTGAAATCCCAAAGCAATAGAATAGTGTTCCATAAAAGAGGAAATAGTTAATAATATCCACCATTTCCAGATAGGTGAGATGGAATAACTATAGCGTTAAGCTATTAAAAACTAGCAAGAGAATTATGGAAGTGATGAACCACAAGAAATTTAAGCTGGAATATATAGAAAGATCCAGACACTGGATGTTCTAGTCATTTCTTTTGGTTTTTTTTTCTTTTTTTTTTTTTTTTTGTTCTCATTTTTTTAATTATTAGTTGTTCAAAACATTACAAAGCTCTTGACATATCATATTTCATACATTTGATTCAAGTGGATTATTGTTCTAGTCATTTCAAAGAAGCAATATCTTAGCGAAAGTTGAATGCCAGAAAGTAAGAAGAATAAGATAGTCTTCTCTGCTGTCTCTCTACTCTGGAGAGTGCTAACAACTTTTACAACTTGGGAAGTATTTCTACAAGTCTAACCAGCATAAATAATACAGACACATGAAGAGAGTTAAGTCTAGAAAGGAGAGTCACTCTGGACTCTAGTGTTCTTAATCCAACCTGAGATTTCCCTTCATGGGTATAAGTAGATTTTTATTTGGAGGGATATTTTAAAAACCTCTCACTGGAATTTTTTTAAATTAACTTTATTGAGGAAAGATTACCATAAAATAAAATACATTCATTTTAAGTGTATAGTTGAATGAATTTTAACAAATGTCAAATATATATTCATTTTGAGATTTACAGTGGTCATACTTTTAATGATATATTTAGTTGTTTACATATGGTTCGTTTGAAGTACCTTCATATAAAGTTATCCATATTTATAATATAAATTTTACTGTTCTATAATTTGCTTACTTTCTAGGGTTTAACTACACGAATGGACCATGAAACAGCCAGTGTTTTGAGTTCTGGTAGCACACACTCTGCCCCTCGAAGACTGACAAGTCATTTGGGAACCAAGGTAACAGAAGATTACAAACTCTGGTTCCTAATGCTATTAATACTTTATTAAGACATTGTTCACATATATTTTCTAGAAGAGAATTCTTACTAGGTCTCCATAACGTCAATTTTTTTTTTCTTTCTTCTGCTACTGAGGATTGAACCCAAGGTCCTATGCATGCTAGGCAAGCACTCTACCACTGAACTACATTCCCAGCTTTCTGCCATGTTTTTATACCAAAAAAGCATAAACAAAGGAGAAAAGGATTATTAAAAATCTGGCAAATTATATAATTGTTAATTCTTTTTCAGCCTCATCTTACACTTGTCTGCAGGTATCCTAAACTCCAGCCAGACTAGCTTACTTCCTGAATTGCCTGTAATTTTCTGCCTCCATACTTTGTCTGCTGTGGCATATGCCACTTTCTACCCCACCACAAATGGTTGTAACAATACTAGCCAGCCTCCAAAATTCTTCTTAGGCTTTGCTTTTCTAATTCTCAGGGTCCCCTTAAGCTCCCCAAGTGATCCACTTACCTGGTTTGTATCACTAACAATTGGAATGAAGCTCTCTTTGGAAAACAGGGACTATTTTTTATGTATCTTTTTCAGCATCTAGCACAGTATCTGTACATAATGAGTGTTTAATATTTATTGAGATGCATGGAAAAATTATTGAGGTTGAATGTTACCCAGGGCTGATAAGTGAGCTTTCTTAGGGTAGCTCAGATGTTAGTAAATCTTTTAGGATTGTGGGAAAATGTTAGAAAGAAAATATTTGTTTTAAAGCCAAAGCTCTGATGGGTACAGTGACACATGCCTCCCAGCAACTCGGTAGGCTAAGGCAGGAGGATTACAAGTTTATTATCAGCCTGGGAAACTTATAGAGATCCTGCCTCAAAATAAAAAATTAAAAGAGCTGAGGATGTAGTTCTATGATAGAGTATCCCTAGGTTCAATCCCCAGTATCACAAAATAAAGCCAGAAGCTTTAATAGAATATTAACTGAGATGAAATTTAATGTTACCAAATAATACATTTTCAATAAAAACTAAATATTCCATTTTTTTCTAAATAATATAACAACTCTTAAGAAACACATTCAAATAACTAATGTTGACTTAAGGAATGCATTTTAGGGTAATCAATGATATGATCAATATGAAGCTTAATCCTTTTTATAATTCACAATAGTTAACTACTTGAGATCTCTTGTGTGCCAAGGTAAAATATGTACATTATTGCTAATCCTCTCAAATGCCCTGCGAGATATTCTTATCCCTCTAATGAGAAAACTGAAGTAAAAAAAAAATGATAATGTTAAGACTTTACAATGTATTTTGAATGCTAGCCACTGTCCCATATGTATTATTTTATTTGGTCTTCACAAATTACTCTGTTTGGAACTTAGAAAACTAAATCTCAGAGAAATTAAATAAATTAACTAGCATCAACCAGCTTATTTGTAAGTGGTGGAGCCAAAATTTGAACCTAAATCTGATTTATTCATAGTCCTATATTATCTTCCTAAAATTTCCTATCTAAAAGTAGGTATGTTTACACATTCAGAGCAGCGTTTCTCAACCTCAAAACTATTAGCTAGATAATTCTTTGTTGCATTATGGGATTTTTACAGCATCCTTGGTCTCTACCCACTGGATTCCCTTACTTCTGCCTCCCAATTATTATAACCAAAAATGTCTCCAAGATATAGCTAAATGTGTCCTGATGGGGGCAAAATTGGCCCTGATTGAGAACAACTGAGTTAAAGAGATAACACTCTATACTTTTATGTAATAGCCTCTAGCTTTGAAATGAAGCTAATGACAGTCCAGGATAACTAGGTACTATTTTCCTGTTTCTAATCTATTTCTAAATAAATTCTTAGAATGTATTGTCAAAGTAATTAATGCTTACCAGTTGGCTTTAAAAAAAGAAAATGACTATATGTCCTGGCTTTATCACTCCTTATGTGATCATGGCATTTTCATTTTTATGACAAATATTTTGCATTTATAAGAGAGAAATTATTGGGCTGGGGTTGTGGCTCAGCGGTAGAGTGCTTGCCTCGCACATGCGAGACCCTGGGTTCGATCTTCAGCTCCACATAAAAATAAATGAATAAAATAAAGGTATTGTGTCCAACTACAACTAAAAAAATAAATATTTTCTTAAAAAGAGAGAAATTATTAATTTTAAAATATCATAATCTGATCAGAATTAGTGATTATCTTGAATTAGTATTTAGTAAATAACAATTATTACAAAAATGTTTTCTCATGATTGTAGTTGTAGATTAAAAAATAAAATTTTTAATTACATAGTGGATTTAGATAAACCACATTCCTTGTTGTGTGTGTGCATGATATAGACATCAGTTGATTTTCACTCATAGTTAGTAGATTACCCCACCCCTAATCCAGACAAATAGCATTTAAGTATGATAGAACCTACTTTCTTATTTCACACTGTATAATACCACTGCTACTATTTATACACATAAACAAATTATTGATTATTGTCTAGATTTTGATAAAATACCATTACTTCATCCTAAAGATTTTGTTTTGTTTTGTTTTTTTACTAAGTTACAATAGATATCCCATTCATCACTTCATTAGTCTTGGCTTTTAGATATTAAAGTCATAATTTTATTTCTAAACTCATTTGGCCCACAGGTGGAAATGGTGTATTCATTGTTGTCAATGCTTGGTACTCATGATAAGGATGATATGTCACGAACTTTGCTAGCCATGTCTAGCTCCCAAGACAGCTGTATATCCATGCGACAGTCTGGATGTCTTCCTCTCCTCATCCAGCTTTTACATGGCAATGACAAAGACTCTGTATTGTTGGGAAATTCCCGGGGCAGTAAAGAGGCTCGGGCCAGGGCCAGTGCAGCACTCCACAACATCATTCACTCACAGCCTGACGACAAGAGAGGCAGGCGTGAAATCCGAGTCCTTCATCTTTTGGAACAGATACGAGCTTACTGTGAAACCTGTTGGGAGTGGCAGGAAGCCCATGAACAAGGCATGGACCAGGACAAAAATCCAAGTATGTGCTTTATAATGTACATCATAGTGCATGTTTGAAAGCAAATGTAAAAGTTTTAGATTAGAAAATTTTGTAGTTAATATGTTGTCTTTATGAATGAAGGAATTAATTCATATTAGCTGTCTATGCCATTAACATACATAGCTTAAGTCTGTATTTTCCTAAAAAAAATTAACAAAGGAATACATTATGTACACTAGTCAGTAATCAAAAAAGAACAGCAAATCAAAAGAAATTTATATAGTCAAAGCTTAGCAGAGCTAGAAAGAACTTGAACAATTGTTGGTTGCACTTCTCTTTTATTCCATAGGGGAAGCTCAGAAAAGCAACTTTACATTAGTTCCTCCAGCTACTAGTGACCAAGCTGTATTCTTTCACATATTCCTATCAGTCTATTCAGTGGACACTGTATTTCTGTTAATGTTATGTGATCCTCCAACAAAAAGGGAAAGGGAAAGCATCATCATCTCCATTTTACAGATGCAGAAACTGAGACTCAGAGAGGCTAAAAGACTTGTTATGGCCTCACAGCTAGTAAGTAACAGAGCCAGAAACACAAACAGGCTGAATGTGCTGTTAGCTCTTTACTCTTCCTACTGTACCACCTTGCTCCAGGCAATGGGCCCTAGTTGCTGGTAATAATAAGCCCCCCAGCTCTTTGCTCAGGAAGAGACCCTTGTTCACTAGCCCTTCTCCCTCAGGAGCAGGGAACATAGAAGTTGGGTCCCTTGGGGACGTAACTTCATTCCTGTAGCCAAGAACCAACAGCAGTAAGTATATAAGGTAAGACCTTCCTTCACCCAGTAAGAATTAACGCATGTGTGCACATGCATGCACACACACACACACACAGGATAAGTAGATGATTTTTTTCATATCAACCTATTGATTTGGGGATCAGTAAAAGGAATTGTGGTAAAAACATGGTTTAGGAAACCATAGCAGATTTTTTTCCAAGCTTAAATATAAACATTATTTTAAATCTAAAAATTTTTAAGATAAGGAAAAAGTAGAGTTGATTCTTTATATCTGCTATCCTAGGAATGAGGAGAGCTAATAAGATATATTATTGAGAGAATATTGCCTTTCTGAATTGATTCTTGGCTAACCACAATAATGAAATGGTCCAGATTTTTTTTTTTTTTTTTTTTTTTTTTGGCTCATGGTACTAGAGATTGAACCAGGGCCTCAGGTATGCCAGGCAAGTGCTCTACCACTAAGCCACATCCCCAGCACCACATTATTACTTCCAAACAAATACTTATGTCAAGTAATAAGTTTTGAAACCTTGTACATAAGCCAGGTATGGTGGCACACACCTGTAATCCCAGTGATCCAGGAGACTTAAAATAGGAGAATCTCAAGTTCAAGGCTACTCTCAGTCCCAGTGAGACCATCTCAAAGGACTGGGAATGTAGCTTAGTGTGACATCTTTTTCTTTAAATTTTTTACTATCTATTATATGTATGTATGTATCAGTCTAGTAAATTTTATCTACTAGGTATTACATTGGTACATATACATTTTCCATTTTCTTTCATTCTTTTCGTTTCTTTTTTTTTTTAATGTTTTTTGTTTGTTTGTGATAGTGAGACTCAAACCCAGGGGTGCTCTACCACTGAGCTACTTCCCCAGACCCTTTCATTTATTTTTTTGAAATGATGGTCTTACTGACTTGCCTAGGCTGACATTGAACTTGCATTCTATTGCCTCAGCCTCCTGAGTTGCTGGCATTATAAGCCTTTGCCACCATGTTGAGCCTCAGCCATGGGCTTTTAACCCACATTTATGAAAATAGCTAAAGTTATAAACAAAATTAAACATTTTATTCCAAAATGTTTTTATTCTTTCATATAGTGAACATAATTAGAGGGAGAGGAGGTACTTGAGAATTAACCCAAGGGTGCTTAACCAGTGAGCTAGTGCGCTATATCCCTACCACTTTTTATTTTTTATTTTGAGACAGAATCTCAATAAGTTGCTTAGGGCCTTGTTAAATTGCTGAGGCTGCCCTCAAACTTGGAATCCTCCTGCCTCAGCCTCCCAATTCACTTGGATTATAGACATATCCCACCATGTGAAGATAATTTTAAATTATTAGATATGTTAATTATACCATAAACATACTGAATTAGATTAAGTTACCTGGATATTAGATTAATAGAATTGGTAAAGGATAGATGAGTGGTAAACATTTTTATGGAACCAAGAAAAGCTTTTATTCATTCTCTGTTCCACATTTGTAGTCTTTATTCTCATCCACTCAGCAAATATTTGTCAATCCATTAAATTTATATGCATTAGGGTTATTCTAATGATCCTTACGTATTTTTAAAGTATAATCATTGTTTTTCAGGTAACAAAACATTATGGTTTACATCAATTGTATTTTCCAGTGCCAGCTCCTGTTGAACATCAGATCTGTCCTGCTGTTTGTGTTCTAATGAAACTTTCATTTGATGAAGAGCATAGACATGCAATGAATGAACTTGGTAAGACAGAAATGTTTCCTAATGCCATAGACAAATACTTGTGGATTTTTTAAAATCGTGGTAGAAATTTAATATACTACATGAAGATATTCAATCATTGATAAGTTGAAATATAAGGATGCTAACTTCTATTACTTCCTTCTTGTAGCAAAATACTGTACCCTGGTTTCCCTGGTTTTCCTGAGTCAACAGAAACTGCTACCCTGTTTTAAACTAACTTAGATTCTGAAATCTTAGCCAATGATTACAAAAATTATTGAACAGACCCCTCCTGTTCCTGTTACCAGGGTTAACCTGTGTAACAGTTTATATAAGAGTAATCTGAATTATTTTGAAATATAGAGATTTCATTTTCCTTGAGATCTGTCAGTCACTTCTGATAAACACCAAGAAGAAATATTATTAAGCATTTCATTTATCTTCACGGTTTTCAGTATTTTACTCAATTTTCATCATAAGCGGCATGGTGTCTTTGAAACTGATTAATATAGAAAAACATTATGCTAAAAACATTTCATTAATTTTGTAACAATTAGTCCTTTAGGTATGTGTTATCACACGCTCTAAACCTTATATAACCTGCATTTGTGCACCCCATTTTTCATGAAATGGTTTTTGATTTCTAGGTTCATTTTGCACATGTGATATTTATATATTGCATGATGCTGAGCCATCTCATGTGAGCTGTAGTTTTTCATGCTACAGCAAGAACCATACACTGAGTTTCCATCTTAGTGTAGCTGTGCCTTGCTTTTTGTGCTGTTTATGTTACATTACATTCCAGCCTCCACTTTGTATTCCTGTTACCCTCATCATTGTCATTCATCGTTTATCTTATAAGTGATTAAAGTCATGAGACTCTTAAACGCAGAGAACTCGTACAGCCAAAAATGAGTGTTGTCTCCTTCAGAGTCATCACTTTGGGAGGCTCTGTACTTTTGAATTTCAGGCCTACCCTCAGCCATGCTTTCTTCCCCACAGTCCCACCTGATTCTCTTTTCTCCCCTAGTATCCTGTGGAATCTCAGTTTATCTTGAGTTCTTCCCTCATTATTTTAAGTTTTTTTAATGCTAATAATAATGGGAAAGGAATAATGATAATAAACAGAAAATCCAGTTTTAAGATATTTTTCTATTATAAATGTTCCTATGTTCCAATGGACTGTAGACTAGGACTGACACATTAATCATCTGAATTTCAAAATAAAACTTAGACTCAGTATTTGTTCCTCTTCCTTCTTCAGGTAGGAAGGCTACCCGGGGCATTTCATCACAGGAGCTAGGGCAGGGGCTTTCAGGTGAGGAGCAGGATGGGGCCTCTGGGGGTGTGACTGCTGGGGACATAGCCACAGGGATTACCTTCCTCTCACTCCTAGTCTCCAAATTTACACTGGGGCAAAAGGAGAATTAAGGTTTGTAAATTGGGGGGAGATAGTATAAGATAGTACAGGCACCTGGCAGTAAGGAATTAGGGAAGAAATAAATCCTAATTAGATGAAGGGAAATCCTGAAGCTCAGTCCATTGGGACTGTCATATGTGCATATATGAAGATCATGGTCATTTAACCTTTTACCTATTAGTATTAGAATATTTAGACTATATATATATGATATTATATACATATATGTGATATTAATCTGTCCCAGAAACTGTGCTAGGACTAGAAATTTTTAATAAGACATGGCCCTGTCTTCCAAAGAACTTATGATTTATTTGCCTTAGTGTTTTACAAAGTTTCTAGATCATAATATCACCAGAGATGCTTGTCAAAACATATAGATACTCTAGCTCTGTAGCAAACAGACTCTCCAGGGAAGAGACTAAGAATCATATTTAACAAGCAACTCAGATGATGCTTATGATCAGGAAACTTTGTGGAACATTGATCTCCATAGAATATTGATACTGAGCTCCTGATACTTATTTTAGAATGGAGCATTTCATGCTAATGGTGGCTATCTAAACTAAGTAAAACAAAAATAACGTACTTTTAAAAATTAAACATCATCTCTCGGTTCTTTTTTTTTTTTTTTTTTTAGTTAAGAAACTGAATTAAGGATTCTATTTAATGTCACCTGAGGCAGTTGGTCCTCCATTATTTGTAAGGTTATAAGATACCATATTGGACAATAATTACATCCATCCACACCACTATTTTCTAACTTAGACATCAAATAAAATATATAAGGATGTGCTTATTACCTTGAAACATCCTAACTTTTTTTAGGGCAGCCAATTTTTATTGTATCGACCAAAAATTTGCATATTTTACTGAATCCATTTATAGTTTTAGCCTATGAATTATATTCTTTGCCTCAAAATTCACTGAAATCTTTTCTTCTTATTTGCCTGGCATTGTAAATGATTTTGTCTTGTATCTGATGTGCCAGATTTTTATTGAATGTTCCTTTTTTTCATTAGCCATGTTGTTCATGGTTTTGTTGACACCCATCATATCTTTCTTTAATCTTTTTTCTCAGAATCAAATCCTAAAATGTTTAGTTTTTCCATACAAGAGGTTTCAAGTCTTTGACAATTTAATGCCTTCTTGGGACCTTCTTTAGATGTACTTTTATCTTTTTTAAGAAAGCATTCCAGATATTGCTATATATACCAGGCAGGATTTTATGAAGAAACAAGACATAGTTTGTCTAACTTCACTGTTGATATTCTGCTTCATAATACTCGACATTTGGGGGATCTCATTAATATCCTGAGCCACAGTCTTCAGGTCTGCAGTGACTCTGATAATATCCTGGGTTAGAATTCTGTTATTATACTTCTCCTTTATCCAACTGCAGTATCATCTACTCCCAAGGCTTCAGTTACCACGTTAGGGTTAGTGTTCAGTGTTTTTCAAATTTACATCTTAGTTCAAGTTCTCTCTCCTGAGTTTTAAACACACATCATACTTCCTAATTGACATCTTCCTTTAGGTGATATTTCAGAGATTCTAACTGAACTATCACAAACTGAAATTCTTAATTCCCCCACCCTTAACACTATTTCTTCCAGGATTTCTCTTGGCAAAATCAATCCACTTGCTTAAGCCACAATTTTTTAAAGTCATACATGGTTTCATTTTTATTCCCTTCATCTAGTAACTGAGTACTTTAATTCCACTTCTTAACTATATTTCAAATCAATATTTTTTTTCTTCCCCAGTTCAAGCCACCATTGTCTCTCTTGTTCTATAATACTTTGTCTTATGCCACTCCCTGTTCCAGTCATAATCCATTCCACACATTGCAGATATAGTAGTCTATTTAGAATGCCCATCTCATTATACTTTCCTATGCCTAAAATCCTTAATGTGGCACAGAAAGTCTTACATGATCTTACCCATTTTTGTAGACTCATCTTGTGTCCCTTTCTTTGTTGATTCATATTTCAAACCCAAGGGCCTCTACACATGCTGTTTCCTCTTCCAGAATGCTTCTTTCTCGTACTTTCTCCACCATTGTTAAGTACTCATTCTTCCTTAAAGATTTGCCTTAAACATTATTTTCTTAGCCTTTTTCTCAGGACCTCCCCCCAACCCTGGGTCTAGGTTAAATCCACTTATTAACCCTGGGCTTGAAATGTCTGTCTTTGCTCTAGTCTGTAAGCTTCTTAAAGACAGTGACTAGTTTTGGTTCACTGATTATATATTTTTCTACTATCACAGGTAAATTCAAGAAAAATCTTTCTAACTACAGTTTAGATTTTCTTTGAACAAATTAATTTTTACTTACCTATAGTCAAAGTTGTCTGTCATTTCTGCTAGTCATAAAGATTTTCGTGAATCTTTCTACAGTTAAATCCCTTGGCCTGGAATTCTTGCCCCAAGATAGAACTTTGTTTGCAAATTTGCAAAGTTCCAGATCATTTATAAAACCATAATATACTGGCCTTCTTTCAGATTAATGACCTATTTAGGCTTACATTATCCCAGAATTGCTTGTCTATATTCATCTTTTTTTCCTTTTTTTCTGTGTTAGCCACTTCTCTGTAACAAAACAATATTCCAAGTCCCATGATTATTAATGTTTGATGATGAATAATATTTTTCATAGCTCCACATGCATTTTTATCTTTTTTTTGTTCATTTCCTCACCATTTTACTTCACTTTTTTTTTTTAAGCCCTTCTTTCGTTGTCTTTTCCTTTCACTTTGTTTTCCTCCTTGCCCTCCTACTGTTGGCCACTGTGGGCATTGTTGAGCATACCCAGTAGTAAGAATCAGGGGGAAAGAAAATACAAAATCCTAGTATAGATGGTATTCAATACTATTAAAGAAAAGTAAAGAGATTTTTTTTAAGCACAAATAGTTTTATAGAACTTAGAAGTTGATCAGACATTCTTTTTGATGAAAAAATAATCATTGCTTAATGCACAGTTTCTTTTAAAAGTTTCATTATTCCTAAGGGTAATTATTTTGACAAATAAAAAATACTAAAGTAATTAGGCAACAATGTGCGACAATGAAGAGTGTTTTTTTAAGCCCTAATAGTAAAAATAAGTTGCCTTTTTCTATTAATGTTTAGAAAGACCTAGTAATAGAAAACGGTCATCTTCATGGTTGGCAGCATGTAATATATGTGCAGTAAGTAGAAAATACACTCATTCAGTAAAGCAAAGGGCTGGAGGGTGGAGTAACTTGCAGAAAATGGAATAGCTGTCAGTTGTACTTTATAAATATGTTACACTAAAGTCCTTTATAATAGCTTTTGTGGCTTATAAATCTAAAGGCAGATTTAAACCATATATACTCATTCTTTGAGGTTTCTTTTTCCTAATATTTAATTATCAATTTGATGATAATTTGTTTTATTTTAGATTATTATCTTTTTCCTCTTGCCCTTTTTAAATTAGGGGGACTACAGGCCATTGCAGAATTATTGCAAGTGGACTGTGAAATGTATGGGCTTACTAATGACCACTACAGTATTACTTTAAGACGATATGCTGGAATGGCTTTGACAAACTTGACTTTTGGAGATGTAGCCAACAAGGTATGTTTTCTTAAGATCTGTTTCTTAAAGACAGCTCAGGTTCATAAGTTAGGTCAGGTTAGTTTACTTTCACATAGACAAACTACTTTTCACTTACTTTCTTTGTCTCCCTTCTAATGAAACAATGACTAATAAAAACCTGTACTTCAAGTCCACTGCATATCCTTACTCATTTCATTGGGCTTTGCCTAAATAAAGGCAAAAGTACATATACAGGTGAAACACCATAGTGAATTTATACAGTTATATTACAAAAATTGTTGTTATGAATCTGAAAATCCTGATGACCAAGGCAAGTGTGAGGCACATACTAATTCCATCCAGGTAAAAGATCTTACTTTAAAATCCTTTGCTTATATTTCTTATCTATTCACTTTATTTTTTTCAGTTTTACAAGGATAGCAGAGAATTGGGAGGGCATCTATCTTTCTTCTAGATAATCTTGTTCTACATCTTTTACAGGTGAAATATCTGTTATGAACAGTGAAAACTAGGTTTGACATTTAGTAAGCACACACTCAAGCTACCTTGTTGATGACGCTCTGTTTAATATCTAATTTTACAGGCTACACTATGCTCTATGAAAGGCTGCATGAGAGCACTTGTGGCCCAACTAAAATCTGAAAGTGAAGACTTACAGCAGGTACCACTTAGAATCTCAAATGTTTCTTGGATATTAGCAGGTTAATATTCTGACTTAAGTCATAGCTCAGTATTTAATACCTCATGTTTTAGAGTAAAGTTTCAGTAACATTAGAATAAAGGAAAATAATTATAGGAATTTCTTTGCTACAGGTAGAGCATTCCTAATCCAAAATCTGAAACTTTTTGAGTGTTGAACATGACAGCACAAGTAGAAAATTACACACCATGAAACTTCATGCACAAAATTATTAAAATGCTATATTAAAGTTACTTTCAGGTTATATATATATAAGATGTGTATGAAACATGAATTTTATATTTATAGACTTGGGTGCTATGCCCAGGTTATTGCAAACTGTATATATGCACATTCCAAAAGCAAACAAAATCTGAAACCCAAAACACTTCTGGTCCCAAGCATTTTGGATAAGGTTTTCTCAACCTGAATAGATTTTACTCTTAACCTCTAGCATTAGAAATAAAAGGAAGCTAGTATTAAGCATTTTTATACAAATTTTTCTAAAATTGATTCATTTGCAGGTTATTGCAAGTGTTTTGAGGAATCTGTCTTGGCGAGCAGATGTAAATAGTAAAAAGACATTGCGGGAAGTTGGAAGTGTAAAAGCATTGATGGAATGTGCTTTGGAAGTTAAAAAGGTACCCTTGAAAATACTCAGTACTGTAATATGGATTCATGTTAGCTAACTTTTTTTGACACCTTCTCCATACTTCTCCCCTCACCTTGCCAGGAGATTTCCTAATTTCTAACCTATTTATCTTCATTGTTTTAGTTCAATCTCTAGGAGTATTAAAGGGGAAAGAATTTGTATATGGTAGTTTAGTAGGGTTTCCTCAGCTCTGACATTGTAAACATTTTCGACCCAGATAATTATTTGTTTTAGGGGGCTGACCTATGCATTGTAGGATATTTTGCAGCATCCATAGCCTTTGCCCACTAGCTGACAGCACACCATCCCCCTGCCCCCGACAGATGTGATAATCCAAAAGATTTCCAGATATTGCCAAATGTCTCTCAAGAAAAAGGTACAAAGTCACTCTTGAGAATCTGTTGTATTACTTGTGAGCTCTCCAAATTTCAGTTCCCCAAAGTCCTAAAAATTTAATGATCAATAGGAAACTCCAAGTAATAATTTCTTTCTAGGACATATCTTCAGGTAGTTCCGAAACTAAGCTAGTTTAAAAAAAAATAAAATAAATAGTAAACTTGAAATCGGGGAGCAACCAAGCAAGTTATCTTAGCCAAACTGGGCTTCCTTGACCCAACTGGCTGAGACCTGTAGCCTAAATTTTCTTCTTAAAAACTTTTATTTTCAGAGAGAGTGAAGAGTTTTTTTGTTTGTTTGTTTTTCACTGTTTATTTAGTTGTGTATTTTTAGTGAAGTCTATTTTTTATACCTGGAAGACACTTGAAAATTTATTAGGAGAAAAGTATTCAACTAAATTACTCGTTATAAAGATAATATTCAAATATGCTTGGGGTATGCATAAAGATACCTTTAAAGCTACTGAATGGAGCTGGTCATAGTGGTGCATGCCTCTAATTCCAGCAACTTGAGAGGCTGAAGCAGGACAATCACAGTTCAAGGCCAGCCTGGGCAACTTAATGAGAAGCTGTCTCAAAATAAAAAGGACTAGGGATGTACCTTAGTGGTAGAGTGCCCCCTGTGTTCAATTCCCTGTACTGCAGAAAAGTAAAATAAAATTGAGCGGGAAACTAACACTTCAGAAAAGAAGTTATATTAATGACCATTAAGCACTAGAAAAGATAAATGACATCCTTAGTTCTAAGGGAAATGCAAATCAAAAATACAGTGAGATACCATTACACAGATCATATTAGTTAAAGTTTAAAAATTGGTCAAGTGTTATAAGGATGTTGAGCAGTAGAGATCTTATACACTGCTGGTGAGAATGTGAAATGGTGTAACCACTTTAAAACATTTGGCAAGGACTGGGGTTGTGGCTCAGTGGTAGAGCACTTGCCGAGCATATTCAGGGCACTGGATTCGATTCTCAACACCACATAAAAATAAATAAATAAAATAAAGGTAGGGCCGGGGGTGTGGCTCAAGCGGTAATGCGCTCGCCTGGCATGCGTGAGGCCCGGGTTCGATCCTCAGCACCACATACAAACAAAGATGTTGTGTCTGCCGAAAACTAAAAAATAAATATTAAAAAAATAAAATAAAATAAAGGTACTGTGTCCAACTACAACTAAAAAAAAAACAAAAACACTTTACAGTGTTTTTAAGTTAAACATACACCTGCCATATGACCCAGCCATTGCACTTCTAAGTATTTTACCCAAGAGGAACAAAAACTGATGTTCACACACAGAATTACACATGAATGTTCGTAGTAATTTTGTTTGTGATAACATAAATTAGAAATAACTCTGATGTCTGTCAGCAGGTAAATGGTAAACAAATTGTGGGATATCTGTACAATAAAATTCAACTCAGCTATAAAAAAGAATTAACTAGGCAGGCATGGTAGCACATGCATATAGTCTAAGCCACTGGGGAGGCTGAAGTGGGAGGATCACTTGAGTCCAGTTGTTCAAGACCAGCCTGGACAATACAGACCTAAAGATCTACATACAGATTTAATTGATACAGACTTAAAAGGCTAGATTAAAAGATACATCCTACTGAAAAACACAGAAGACCATAATAAATGGAAAGATTTGTCCTTTTCTTGGAAAAGGCCATTTCACCCTAAATTTATCTGTATTTTTTTTTTTTAAGTTATGCTGTGTTACCCAGGCTGATGACCTTAAGTAATGCTCTTGCCTCAGCTTCCCAAGTAGCTGGGACTTAAAGAATGTGCACAACCATGTCCAGTTTCATTGATAAATTTTTAATGTAAGGCCAATCTTGGAAAAACTAGCCAATCAGAAATTGCTATTATACAATTCTGATTTGGGCTTCCTGGTTAACAATATTAAGAGTTTGTTGGTTTCCTCTTTGTCTGTATTCAGTGCAGTGGTCATTGTGAACATGCTTTTTCTCTAATTAGTCATTGATTGCCTTTCAGCTTTATTTACTACTGCTCATGATCAAGAATCAGGACTTCTTCCTATTTCCCCTGCATGTATGGCAGCACTTTAACTCTGTTCAGCTAGCTTACACCTTCCACACAATAGAGCCTTGTCTTTAATGTGTTCTGTGCCCCAGTTTTTACTGTTTACTTAAAAATGTGAGTACTTTACTCTTGTCCTCTACATCTTCTCTACTGGATCCTTCTTTTCTTATGTTTCAACTACATAAGAAACCCAGTCTTTTGAAAATGAAAATAAAATGCTCTGTGGCTTCTAACTACTACAGTGTTTTTCTTTTCCTGTAACATCCAAAGCCTTGAACAAGTTACTTGCTTCATTTAATTAGTCATACCATCTTCAGTGTCTTCTGATTTTGCTTCTGATACAGCTCTTTTCCAGGTTGCAAAATCTGGATTTATAGATTCACTTTGGTTTTTCTTTTCTACCTTCACCTGTATTTTATACTTTCTGATCACGCAACTTACTGAAACTCCTCCCTTTGCTTTCACCTGTATTTCCACCTTTTTTTTATATATATATATTTTTTAAGTTGTTGATAGACATTTATTTGTTTGTTTGTTTGTTTATATGTGGTGCTGAGAATCGAACCCAATGCCTCACACATGCCAGGCAAGTGCGCTACTGCTGAGCCGCAGCCCTGTATTTCCAACTGCTAATCATTTTGTCCTTGTCATTTTGTGTGTGTGCGTACATGTATATGCATGCACACATACACACTGGGGATGGAGCCTAGGGCCTAGTATATACTAAGCATGCATTCTACCACTACACCACATCCCTAACTCCTAATCATTTCTTTTCTCCTTTGTTTTGAACTGTAAAACTTTATTGAATCAAAACTCTTGGCCTTTGACATATAGTCACACAGAGAGCAACTTTTGTTTTTCTAACTTTAGCTCTTCTCGGCAAATTGCAGTTTGACTCACTGCTCTAAAGACTTGCCATCTTTCTTGTTCTCAGAAGCTTAAAATGCTCTGCCTTTACTTCAATCACATTGCAATTAAAATTGAGCTTTTCTCACATCTTGATTGTGGAAGCATTTCCTTCCTGCCTCTTTCCAGCTCTCTGATAAGCAGTGTCTAAACCTACTCCAATACTGTTTCATTTAATTAATTTCTTGATAAAGAGAATGGGTAGTTAGCTACTTTTTTATTTAGGCCCATAATGTTTCCTGTGGCATTCAAAGCCTATATTTTAACTCTATGAACTTACTTTCTACTGTTCCCAGCATGGGCCTTGGTCTCCTTTGTGTCTTTCTATTCTACAGTCCTTCCTTCCTGATTTGTTTTTGTTTTTGGTACTGGTATTAAACCCAGAGTTACAGGTGTATGCCACTGCACCTAGCCCTTCTTCCTGATTTCTTCTTCCATACTTTATTTATTTGTTTGTTTGTTTGTTTGTTTTTTGTACTGAGGATTGAACCCAGGGATGCTGAATCATTGTGACACATCCCCGGCTCTTTTTGTATTTAATTTAGATGCAGGGGCTCACTGAGTTGCTTAGGGCCTCGCTGAGTTGCTGGGCTGGCTTTGAACTCACAATCCTCTTGCCTTAGTCTCCTGAGCCACTGGGATTACAGGTGTGCACCACTGCACCTGGCTACTTCCATACCTTTTTTTTTTTGGGGGGGGGGGGGTTAGTAACCGAGATTGAACTCAGGGGCGCTCGACCACTGAGCCATAAAGCCAGCCCTACATTGTATCTAGAGACAGGGTCTCACTGAGTTGCTTAGTGCCTCTCTTTTTGTTGAGGCTATCTTTGAGCTCATGGTCCTCCTGCCTCCACAAGCCACTGGGATTACATACCTTTTATCATTCTGCTTTCCCTGCGAGGAGCTACTGTCTTCTCTTCTCTATGAAGGTACAGGTCTTATCCTCCTACAGAACAGTCTTCTCTGGAATATTTTATTAAAATTCAGGCTGCAATAATCTTTTAGAGCACCTTGCTTTGTTTTGTTTTGTTTTGTTAATTGTTTGAAGTGCCTGTATGATAGGCACATAATAGATTTCTTTTTTTTTTAATATTTATTTTTTAGTTTTATGTGGACATAATATCTTTATTTTATTTTCATGTGATACTGAGGATCTAACCCAGTGCCTCATGCATGCTAGGCAAGCACTCTACCACTGAGCCACAACCCCAGCCCCAACATAGTAAATTTCTAATGAATGTTTTTTGTGAGATAAGTACAAAGACTGACACCAGGATCATGGGAGATTGTGACCAATTGCATATCAAAATGTTTCTATGGCAAGTGCAGTTTGACAGTTTACTATGATATTGTATATTAGGGAGTTTTGGCTTTTTGTAATTAGTTTGCCTCTTTAAGACATTTTTCGAGTATCCTTTCTTCTTTCCATAAGTTACATTGTTACTTTTGGATCAACCACATATAGACATTTATGTATGTTTTTAATACAAATGTAATACTGTATATACTGCTTTGCAAATTGCTCTTGTCATTTAACAGTACTTCTAAGATATCTTTCCCTATTTCCCCAACAACTCAGGAAGCTGAAGCAGGAGGATGGCAAGTTCCAACCTGGGAAACTTAGTGAGACCCTATCTATAAATTAAAAGGGCTGGGGATGTAACTCAGTGGTAGAATGCCCTGGGTTCAATTCCCAGTACCACGGTGCAGGGAAGGCGAGGAGGGAGGGGGATGATTTTCCTTATCCATGTATAGTAATAGAGGTTTTTTTAAATTTAGTTTCCATTGTTCTGAAAATGTTATCTTTTCATAATGTACATGAATTATGTGTGTGTGTATACACATACACACACATACACTGTAAGTTCTGTAAGATAAGTATATCATTTAAACAGGGAGGACCATTAATTTCATATTGTGTTATGCTTAATTTGGGATATTGCTTAAATTTTATTTGATATTTTATGAAAGTTTTTCTAAATGAAAATTTCTTAATAGTTTACCAGTGAATGACTTGGGAGGATCAAGGTTTAAAGCCAGCCTCAGCAACTTAGCAAGACCCTGTCTCAAAATAAAAAAATAAAAAGGGCTGGGATGTGGCTCAGTGGTAGAGTACCCCTGGTTCAATCTCTGGTGCCAAAAAATTTAAAAATTTTACTAGTCAGAGTTGGACAACTGGGAAAATCAAAAAACAAACTTTGTTCAGTAGAAGTCAACATAAAGGTTATGAAAAACAAATTCCAGTTCTAATTAGATGATACATATTCTGTTTTTTAATAGGAATCAACCCTCAAAAGTGTACTGAGTGCCTTATGGAATTTATCAGCACATTGCACTGAGAATAAAGCTGATATATGTGCTGTAGATGGTGCGCTTGCGTTTTTGGTTGGCACTCTCACTTACCGGAGCCAGACAAATACTTTAGCCATTATTGAAAGTGGAGGTGGGATATTACGGAATGTATCCAGCTTGATAGCTACAAATGAGGACCACAGGTATATATAGAGTTCTATATTACTTTCTACATGAATTCATTTCTTTGAAAAGACCTAATTGTGAGCAGTGTTTTGTATAATTATTAATAAGTTCAAAACCAAAATACACTTAGTACAGTGAAAAGATAAATGTTAATCCCAGTTTTACTCATTAGTGTATTTATTCTAATAAAGTTTATAGTACCATAAAGGAGATTAGACAAACAAATGTTAAGAGATATAACCCATGTGTGGAGGAATAAATAAAAGTCATAAATATTAGAACAAAATTCTTTCTTGTTTATTACTATGGCATAAAGGAATATGAAGCTTATTTTAAAAACAGCAAAATGATGAGCATGATTCTGAAAGTATAAAGGCTCGCATTTTTCCAGTGGTGTCTTAACATCACTTATCATATTATTTAAGTACCAGCCAATCTACTAGGTCTCCAAAATCTGAAAGATCAGAGTCAGAGCACACATTTTTAAAACTTGGGATCTATAATATGTCAACAAAAATTTTCAGAGCTTATTCATTTTTTTAAATGTATCCTGTGTTATTCCTGTTGTTTTCAAAAAGAGCATCAGGTTCTTTTAATAGAAGAGCCTACAAGAATATAAACATCTTTTTATTTAAGTTTTTGATGTAAAACTTCAAGCTTTTTATATTCCTTCCTGCTACGCAAAAAGTATTTCGTAAACTCAGTAAGTACTCAGTTGACTACTGGACTATTGAGAAAAGACCACCACATTAAAGTTTATTGTGCTCCCTTGCCAGTCTATTTTAAGGCCTACTAAAGCTGAATATGCTGTCAATGAACTTCAGTTTTCCATGCATTAAACTAGCTATTGCTCTTTCAAGTCTCAGAGTTCATTATGCTGATTCTTAGCCCTTGTATTTACATGCTTTAAATATTTTGAAAACCTTTACTTCACATTATTTTTCAAAATAATGACAATACACACAATCTGCCAAAGAGTACTTGTAAGAAAGATAACATGTCAGAAAATTAAACTGGAGACATAGAGATTACTCTAGAAAGTAGGTTTACTGATATGTACATAAAGTATGCTCCCTGACTACATAAAAAATGTATCAGTTCTGTTTACCTCTTCCAAGATATTAGTAGTCAACATTGTGGCTTGCATATGTAGGCTAAATTACCACAAAGTTCCTGTTCAGTTTAAGATTTCATGATATATTTATGATACTTAAATTGTAAAACTGTCACCATATGAAAAGAATAAATGTATTTGGTACCTGCCCCCCCCCCCCGCAAGAGTATTTTAAGCTATTGGATCAGAATAGGAAATGTAGAATAGATAGAAAATCACATTTTCACTTCTTTTGATCTGACAGATGAGTATTTTTAATCAATAAACATTGAATGAACTAAGAACAAAAGATGTGAATGCTTGAAATTTATAGAATAATTGGTATAATTTTAACATGCCTACTATTAACTTTTAGTAAAATTATCTTTAGATTTACTTGTTTTCTATCTTACAGATTTTTTTTTTCACTCTGTAATTTCTTATTTTTATTCCAGGCAAATCCTAAGAGAGAACAACTGCCTACAAACTTTGTTACAACACTTGAAATCTCACAGTTTGACAATAGTCAGTAATGCATGTGGAACTTTGTGGAATCTCTCGGCAAGAAATCCTAAAGACCAGGAAGCATTATGGGATATGGGGGCTGTTAGCATGCTCAAGAATCTCATTCATTCAAAGCACAAAATGATTGCTATGGGAAGTGCTGCAGCTTTAAGGAATCTCATGGCAAATCGACCTGCAAAATATAAGGACGCCAATATTATGTCTCCTGGTTCAAGCTTGCCATCTCTTCATGTTAGGAAACAGAAAGCCCTAGAAGCAGAATTAGATGCTCAGCATTTATCTGAAACTTTTGACAATATTGACAATTTAAGTCCTAAGGCATCTCATCGTAGTAAGCAAAGACACAAGCAAAATCTTTATGGTGACTACGTTTTCGACACCAATCGACATGATGATAATAGATCAGACAATTTTAATACAGGAAATATGACTGTTCTTTCACCATATTTGAATACTACAGTATTGCCCAGCTCCTCTTCATCAAGGGGGAGTTTAGATAGTTCTCGTTCTGAAAAAGATAGAAGTTTGGAGAGGGAGCGAGGAATTGGCCTAAGCAGCTACCACCCAACTACAGAAAATCCAGGAACCTCTTCAAAGCGAGGTTTGCCAATCTCAACCACTGCAGCCCAAATTGCCAAAGTCATGGAAGAAGTATCAGCCATTCATACCTCCCAGGAAGACAGAAGTTCTGGTTCTACCACCGAATTACATTGTGTGACAGATGAAAGGAATGCAATAAGAAGAAGTTCCACTGCCCACACACATTCAAACACATACAATTTTACTAAGTCAGAAAATTCAAATAGGACATGCTCTATGCCTTATGCTAAATTGGAATATAAAAGATCTTCAAATGATAGTTTAAATAGTGTTAGTAGTAGTGATGGTTATGGTAAAAGAGGTCAAATGAAACCTTCAGTTGAATCCTATTCTGAAGATGATGAAAGTAAATTTTGCAGTTACGGTCAGTATCCAGCTGACCTAGCCCATAAAATACATAGTGCAAATCATATGGATGATAATGATGGAGAACTGGATACACCAATAAATTATAGTCTTAAATATTCAGATGAGCAATTGAACTCTGGAAGGCAAAGTCCTTCACAGAATGAAAGATGGGCAAGACCAAAACACATAATAGAAGATGAAATAAAACAAAATGAGCAGAGACAATCAAGGAGTCAAAATACCACTTACCCTGTATATACTGAGAGTACTGATGATAAACACCTTAAGTTCCAGCCACATTTTGGACAGCAAGAATGTGTTTCCCCATATAGGTCAAGGGGAACCAATGGTTCAGAAACAAATCGAGTGGGTTCTGGTCATGGAATTAATCAAAATGTAAACCAGTCTTTGTGTCAGGAAGATGACTATGAAGATGATAAGCCAACCAACTATAGTGAACGCTACTCTGAAGAAGAACAGCATGAGGAAGAGGAGAGGCCAACAAATTATAGCATAAAGTATAATGAAGAAAAGCATCATGTGGATCAGCCTATTGATTATAGTTTAAAATATGCCACTGACATTTCTTCCTCACAGAAACCATCATTTCCATTTTCAAAGAGTTCATCTGCACAAAACACTAAAACTGAACACATCTCTTCAAACAGTGAGAAGGCATCCACACCTTCATCGAATGCAAAGAGGCAAACTCAGTTACATCCAAGTTCAGCACAGAATAGAAACGGTCAGGCTCAAAAAACTACCACTTGCAAAGTTCCCTCTATCAACCAAGAAACAATTCAGACTTACTGTGTAGAAGACACCCCAATATGTTTTTCAAGGTGCAGTTCATTGTCATCTTTGTCATCAGCTGAAGATGAAATAGGATGTGATCAGACAACACAGGAAGCAGATTCTTCTAATACTCTGCAAATAGCAGAAATAAAAGAGAACAATGTAACTAGATCAACTGAAGATCCTGTAAGTGAAGTTCCAACAGTATCACAGCATGTTAGAACCAAACCCAGTCGACTCCAAGCTTCCAGTCTATCTTCAGAATCAACCAGACACAAAGCTGTTGAATTTTCTTCAGGGGCCAAGTCTCCCTCCAAAAGTGGTGCTCAGACACCCAAAAGTCCACCAGAGCACTATGTTCAGGAGACTCCACTCATGTTTAGCAGATGTACTTCTGTCAGTTCACTTGATAGTTTCGAGAGTCGTTCCATTGCCAGCTCTGTTCAGAGTGAACCATGCAGTGGAATGGTAAGTGGCATTATAAGCCCCAGTGACCTTCCAGATAGCCCTGGACAAACCATGCCACCAAGCAGAAGTAAAACCCCTCCACCACCTCCTCAGACAGTTCAAACCAAGCGAGAGGTACCTAAAAATAAAGTACCCACTACTGAAAAAAGAGAGAGTGGACCTAAGCAAGCTGCTGTAAATGCTGCAGTTCAGAGGGTCCAGGTTCTTCCAGATGCTGATACTTTGTTACATTTTGCCACAGAGAGTACTCCAGATGGATTTTCTTGTTCATCTAGCCTGAGTGCCCTAAGCCTCGATGAACCATTTATACAGAAAGATGTAGAGCTAAGAATAATGCCTCCAGTTCACGAAAATGACAATGGGAATGAAACAGAACCAGAGCAGCCTGAAGAATCAAATGAAAACCAGGACAAAGAGGCAGAAAAACCTGTTGATTCTGAAAAAGATCTACTAGATGATTCAGATGATGATGATATTGAAATATTAGAAGAATGTATTATTTCTGCGATGCCAACAAAGTCATCACGCAAAGCCAAAAAGCTAGCCCAGACTGCTTCAAAATTACCTCCACCTGTGGCAAGGAAACCAAGTCAACTGCCTGTGTACAAACTTCTTCCATCACAAAACAGGTTACAGGCACAAAAGCATGTTAGTTTTACACCAGGAGATGACATGCCACGGGTGTATTGTGTAGAAGGGACACCTATAAACTTTTCCACAGCTACATCTCTAAGTGATCTTACAATAGAATCCCCTCCAAATGAGTTAGCTGCTGGAGAAGGGATTAGAGCAGGGGCACAGTCAGGTGAATTTGAAAAACGAGATACCATTCCTACAGAAGGCAGAAGTACAGATGAGGCTCAAAGAGGAAAAACCTCATCTGTAACTATGCCTGAATTGGATGACAGTAAAACAGAGGAAGGCGATATTCTTGCAGAATGCATTAATTCTGCTATGCCCAAAGGGAAAAGTCACAAGCCTTTCCGAGTTAAAAAGATAATGGACCAGGTCCAGCAAGCATCTGTGTCTTCATCTGGAACTAACAAAAATCAAATAGATAGTAAGAAAAAGAAGCCTACTTCACCAGTAAAACCTATGCCACAAAATACTGAGTATAGGACACGTGTGAAAAAGAACACAGACTCAAAGAATAACTTAAATGCTGAGCCAGCTTTCTCAGACAACAAAGATTCAAAGAAACAAAACTTGAAGACTAATTCCAAGGACTTCAATGATAAGCTACCAAATAATGAAGATCGAGTTAGAGGAAGTTTTACTTTTGATTCACCTCATCATTACACCCCTATTGAAGGAACTCCTTATTGTTTTTCACGAAATGATTCTTTAAGTTCTTTAGACTTTGATGATGATGATGTTGACCTTTCTAGGGAAAAGGCAGAATTAAGAAAGGGGAAAGACAGTAAGGATTCAGAAGCTAAAGTTACCAGCCTCACAGAACTAACATCAAGCCAACAATCATCTAATAAGTCACAAGCTGTTACAAAACATCCAGTAAGTCGAGGCCAGTCTAAACCCATACTACAGAAGCAACCCACTTTTCCTCAGTCATCCAAAGACATACCAGATAGAGGGGCAGCAACTGATGAAAAATTACAGAATTTTGCTATTGAAAATACACCAGTTTGCTTTTCTCGTAATTCCTCTCTGAGTTCTCTTAGTGACATTGACCAAGAAAACAACAATAACAAACAAAATGAACCTATTAAAGAGACTGTGCCACCTGCTTCACAAGGAGAACCAAGTAAACCCCAGGCATCAGGTTATGCTCCTAAATCATTTCATGTTGAGGATACTCCTGTTTGTTTCTCAAGAAACAGTTCTCTCAGTTCTCTTAGTATTGATTCTGAAGATGACCTGTTGCAGGAATGTATAAGTTCTGCAATGCCAAAAAAGAAAAGGCCTTCAAGACTCAAGGGTGATAATGAAAAACATAGTCCCAGAAATATGGGTGGCATATTAGCTGAAGATTTGACACTTGATTTGAAAGATATACAGAAACCAGATTCAGAGCATGGTTTATCCCCTGACTCAGAAAATTTTGATTGGAAAGCTATTCAAGAAGGTGCAAATTCCATAGTGAGTAGTTTGCATCAAGCTGCTGCTGCTGCATGTTTATCTAGACAAGCTTCATCTGATTCAGATTCCATTCTTTCACTGAAATCAGGAATCTCTCTGGGATCACCTTTTCATCTTACACCTGATCAAGAGGAAAAACCCTTCACAGGTAATAAAGGACCACGAATTCTCAAGCCTGGGGAGAAAAGTACATTGGAAACTAAAAAAATGGAATCTGAAAATAAAGGAATCAAAGGAGGAAAAAAAGTTTATAAAAGCTTGATTACTGGAAAAGTTCGATCTAATTCAGAAATTTCCAGCCAAATGAAACAGCCCCTTCAAACAAACATGCCTTCAATCTCTCGCGGTAGGACAATGATTCATATTCCGGGAGTTCGAAATAGCTCCTCAAGTACAAGCCCTGTTTCTAAAAAAGGCCCACCCCTTAAGACTCCAGCCTCCAAAAGCCCTAGTGAAGGTCAAGCAGCCACCACTTCCCCTAGAGGAGCCAAGCCATCAGTGAAATCAGAATTAAGCCCTGTTACCAGGCAGACTTCACAAATAGGGGGGTCAAATAAAGGGCCTTCTAGGTCAGGATCTAGAGATTCTACTCCTTCAAGACCTGCCCAGCAACCATTAACTAGACCTATGCAGTCTCCAGGGCGAAACTCAATTTCACCTGGTAGAAATGGAATATGTCCTCCTAACAAATTATCTCAACTAGCCAGAACATCATCCCCTAGTACTGCTTCAACTAAGTCTTCTGGCTCTGGGAAAATGTCATATACATCTCCAGGCAGACAGATGAGCCAACAAAACCTTACCAAACAAACAGGCTTATCCAAGAATACCAGTAGTATCCCAAGAAGTGAGTCTGCCTCCAAAGGACTAAACCAGATGAATAATAGCAATGGGTCCAGTAAAAAGGTAGAACTTTCTAGAATGTCTTCAACTAAATCAAGTGGAAGTGAATCTGATCGATCAGAGAGACCTGTATTAGTACGTCAGTCTACTTTCATCAAAGAAGCTCCAAGCCCAACCCTAAGGAGAAAATTGGAGGAATCTGCTTCATTTGAATCTCTTTCTCCATCTTCTAGACCAGATTCTCCCACTAGGTCTCAGGCACAAACACCAGTTTTAAGCCCTTCCCTTCCTGATATGTCTCTCTCCGCACATTCATCTGTTCAGACTGGTGGATGGCGAAAACTTCCACCCAATCTCAGTCCCACTATAGAATATAATGATGGAAGACCAGCAAAGCGTCATGATATAGCACGCTCCCATTCTGAAAGTCCTTCCAGACTTCCAATCAACAGATCAGGAACCTGGAAGCGTGAGCATAGCAAACATTCATCATCCCTTCCTCGAGTAAGCACTTGGAGAAGAACTGGAAGCTCGTCTTCAATTCTTTCTGCCTCATCAGAGTCCAGTGAAAAAGCAAAAAGTGAGGATGAAAAACATGTAAACTCTGTTTCAGGAACAAAACAAACTAAAGAAAACCAAGTATCCACAAAAGGAACATGGAGAAAAATGAAAGAAAGTGAAATTTCTCCCACAAATATTACTTCTCAGAACACTTCTTCGGGTGCTGCAAATGGTGCTGAATCAAAAACTCTAATTTATCAAATGGCACCTGCTGTTTCTAAAACAGAGGATGTTTGGGTGAGAATTGAGGACTGTCCCATTAACAACCCTAGATCTGGAAGATCTCCCACAGGTAATACTCCCCCAGTGATTGACAGTGTTTCAGAAAAGGGAAATCCAAATGTGAAAGATTTAAAGGATAATCAGGGAAAACAAAATGGGGGTAATGGCAGTGTCCCCGTGCACACCATGGGTTTGGAAAACCGCCTGAACTCCTTTATTCAGGTAGATGCCCCAGACCAAAAAGGAACTGAGACAAAACAGGGACAGAGTAATCCTGTTCCTGCAGCAGAGACTAGTGAAAGCTCTATAGCAGAGCGTACCCCTTTCAGTTCAAGCAGCTCAAGCAAACACAGTTCACCTAGTGGAACTGTTGCTGCCAGAGTGACTCCTTTTAATTACAACCCAAGTCCTAGGAAAAGCAGCGCAGATAGCACTTCAGCTCGCCCATCTCAGATCCCAACACCAGTGAATAACACCAAAAAACGAGACTCAAAAACTGACAGCACAGAATCCAGTGGAACTCAAAGTCCTAAGCGCCATTCTGGGTCTTACCTTGTGACATCTGTTTAAAAGAGCTGGAAGGACAAGACAAAACTAAAAAAATTAGGTGTTAATTACAACTGCTATATAGAAATTTTGTTCTAAATGAAAGTTTAAAGGATTGAAAGTTTTTGTAAATAGGTTTGATTCTTGTTAGAGGGTTTTTGTTCAGGAAGCCATATTTGATAGAGTATACTTTGTCTTCACTGGTCATATTTTGGGAGGCACTCTTAATAGGGAAAAAAGTGGTAAAGCCAAGTATATTTGTACAGTATGTTTTACATATATTTAAGTAGCATCCATCCCATCATACTTCAGTTATCGCTCGTCGTAAAATAATGAACACTACAGATAGAAAATATGATATATTGCTGTTATCAATCATTTCTAGATTATAAACTAATTAAACTTACATCAGGGAGAAATTGGTATTTATGCAAAAAAATTGTTTTAGTCCTGTGAGTCCATCTAACTTCATAATTAATCATGTGGCTGTGAAATTCACAGTAATATGGTTCCCAATGAATAAATTTACCCAGCCTGCTTTGCATTACTGCATGAATGAAATGACGGTTCAATTTCAGAAGTTATGATTAACAGTTCTGTGGTCACATGATGTGCATAGAGATAGCTACAGTGTAACAATTTACACTATTTTGTGCTCAAAAAAAAATCTGTGTAACTGTAAAACATTGAATGAAATTATTTTACCTGAACTAGATTTTATCTGAAAGTAGGTAGAATTTTTGCTATGCTGTAACTGTTGTACATTCTGGTATTTGAGGTGAGATGGCTGCTCTTTTATTAATGAGACATGAATTGTGTCTCAACAGAAACTAAATGAACATTTCAGAATAAATTATTGCTGTATGTAAACTATTACTGAAATTGGTATTTGTTTGAAGGGTCTTATTTCACATTTGTACTAATAATTGTCAAAAGGGCCTCTTTAAAAGCTTATATAAATTTTTTTCTTCAAATTCTATGCATTAAGAGTAAAATTTCTCCTACTGTAATAAAAACAATTGAAGAAGACTGTTGGCACTTAACCATTCCTAAATTTCAATTTTTCTTTATGTGATTAGCACTTCTTCAGTTTTCAATATTTTTCCACCCTTTTTCCCCCCCTTACTCCACTGGAACTCAGTTAAAACAGAGGCATATATATCAGTGTCTGCCTAGCACAGGTCTAGGCATTGAAATAACAGGACCACATAAGTATTCACTTTTTCTTAAAAGAATTCTATACTTGAAATTTTGATTATTCTTAGTACAAGTAGTTTCTTCCATGTTCTATAATGTAACTTGTCTTTCCTCCTCATCTTTTCCCTGTTGCTACTGGGTCTAACATGCAACACCTTATATCACCCTTCCTGTTAAGGCATATTTTCTACAGCCAAATATAATCAGTACTCTGCCATATTCAGAAAATACAAAATCACATGAAACTTTAAAAGTAGATACAATGCCATTAAGATACTCAAAAGAGGCCCTGGCATTGGGAAAAAGAAAAAAATCAGAGGAGTATTTAAATATCCTTACCTGTTGAGAAAAACTTTATTTTTGATGTGTACAGTTGGTTAGGGGGCTGGGGTGAAGTACCCACTTACTTATACTGACCTCAGGAGGAGCCCTCTTTCATGAAGGAAAATACACTGATAATAGCAAAGATAATTTACTTAATATATCTTCCCTGAGTTTGTTCTAAAAGATCAAAAGTGACTATGATGATAAATGCTCATATATTTGTTGAATAAATGAAAGGTTTATTTTTAATGATAAAATTCATGCACTCTGCATTTGGAGAAGATAAAGGATTTTTAGGCGTGGTGGGGCACTGGGAAGAGGTGACAGGGAGTATGCATACCTACCTGGTGCCCTTGAAATCACATCATTTAGTTAATTATCTAACTTGTGTTTTTACTTGTGTTTGTAACTTGCAGGTAATGAGGCTGTTTTTTTAAAAGCTAAAGTGCCAGAAAATTAAGTACCATGATTTGAACTAAAGCATATTACTCCAAAGCCCGTACTCTTTCCACTGCTCCACTTTATAAACACCTCAATTTATTTATCTTTGAAATCTATTTAAATTTTTTTCAAAACTTCTCTGAAATTGTTTATGAATAATATTCTATATTGTTCTCCAAGGCTGCCATAAACAATAGGGATACAATGTTTATCTAGGTCATATCTGGTTTTGTCTGAATTTTTGCATGCCAGTTTTTATAAACTACTTCCAAGTATTTTTGTGGGAAGAGATAAAAGTGTTAGTTAATTAGAATAAAGTTGCCTTTCAATTCAAGTTTTTTTTTTTTTTTTAAAAAGGTATTATTGTATTGGAAATGAAAGAAGAGTCCCTTCTACTTACAAAAAGACTGGAATTCCTGTGGGCAACATTACTGGGAGAAGAACCAATGCATGTTGTCCCTTGAGGAAAAGGTCACTGGATGAGAACCTCTAGTTAGAGATAATGGCTCTGAATGAGTAAAGGGGCAAATCACTTCTATTTTGAGACATTGGCAAGATGTTACCAAAACTGATAGCAAAGCTAAATACTCCAAGTTGATGCTGGGTTTAAGCCCAGTGTTGGGTTTAAGATAAGTCAGTAATTGTGATGGCTATTAAAAGGAAGGGATACGGGATTGACTGTGCCCTGTTTAACTGTGGACTGCAACAGAGAAATCCTAAGGCAGTGGTTTTTGAAACAAGGGTGCATTTGAATCTTAGTGCTTATGACACAGCCAGGTCACACCCTGGTAATTGGACTGAGTAGATTTAGAGTGGGCCCCAAGAATTTGCATTTTAACAAGTTCAAACATGCTGCTGGTGCTGCTGGTCCTGAGGACCACACTTTGGGAATTACTGCCCTCAGTTACCACAGTGAAGCTCCTTGAGTGATTGCCTTGGGCTCCAGATATTCAACAACTGAACTTTTAATCTACTAACAGATTCTCCTTTCTGTAGACCTAAGACTTGAATATTGAGCTGTTCAATATGTTATAACCCATCTCCCGATAAGAAACAAACTTACCAGACATGAATGAACAATTAATTTTTACTTTATTATGTCTGAAAGATCAGCTAATATTCCCTTTGAAACAATTATTGTAAAAGCCAAAGTATCTTAATTTGAAATGGCAATAAGATTAGAAGAGACTGGAAATGGGAACTTGGAGGTGAGGGAAGACTGGTTTCAGATGAAAGGAAAATGTATCCAGTTTATTAATATTTAATGAATGTGGTCAAATCAGTCTGATAATTGAGGATAAACTTTATAAATTACCAGGGCACTGGAAGTTAATGAGGGAAATAATGAAAGATATATGCTGTAAGGAGCAAATAGTACATATTTTTCTTGATTATGTATAATATGGATCATGTTACACAAAGTTAATTAAGTAAAATGATGAGTCCATTGCTGAGGGGAACCAGTTGCACTATATCTGAATTCATATAATCAGGTGGGGTTTCTTTTCATCTAAGAGAAAGAATGGAGTGCCAGCAATGCAAAAGTAAATTGCCCAGAGCTGAAGAAAGATTTGAGTAGTCAGATGGGTAAAATTTACCAAACAAAAATGATTTTTCAAAAGTCACTGTGGCTGAAATAGTATAATTTTTTTTTCATTTCCACTAACCATATTTCCCTAATATTACGCTGAGTTTAAAATACTACTTTGTAATGTTGAAGCCTATGGACTGTGGCTTCTGTATTACCCCAGGTTATTTTCCTTCTGTTCTCAATTCTGTGGTCTGTAAGTATATTCTGCTTTTTGTTAGGCCATTGATGCTTCTTTTAACCTGTATGTTCTATATGTATAATACTGTTCTTGGTGCTAAATATACTTTCTTTCCTCTGATATTCAGGGTAATTTTTTTTTCTACATTTATGACTGTTCACTTACTCTTAAAGTTATCTGTTACTTTTTTAATTGAAAATGTTCAATGTATAGTAGCAAAAGTGATCACTGAATATAAAACAACACTAGTGAGAAATGGCTATTGAAAGAAATGCCAGACATTACGTGCCCTACTTACACTACCTATTAGGATCCAAAGACTTGTTTGTTCTAGCTTTAAAAAAAAAAAAAAGGAAAAAAAAAAAAAGACTTGGCTAATCAATTTGAAATAAGTTGTCACAAAGAAAATTTCTGGTTGGTGGGAACTGAAAGCTCACATAGGCTGATTACTACAATTGACATCATGGAGCCTAATAGAAGAGGAAGCAGACAGAGGAAAAAGAGGAAATGGGAACAGATTGGTGGGGGCGGGGAGGCATATAAAGCAAGTAAGAGGCAAGTCAGGAGCCACCACAGTCCCTACAGGTTTTTTGCTTTGTTTTTGTTTTTCTTGGGGGGGAGGGGGGGAGTCCAGCCCTTTTTTAAATTTTGAGACAGGGTCTCCCAAGTTGCTTAATGCCTCGCTGGTTCTGAGGCTGGCTTTGAACTTGGCGATCCTGCTTCAGCCTTCCAAGTCACTGGGATTACATGCATGCACCACCATGCCTGGCAGTCCCTGCCGTTTCTGAGACCTAGTTCTACTTTTCCCCAAATGGGGGCACTTGTGAATAAAACTCAATTTGTTCCTGGAGTAACCTGAAACTAACAGAAACCCTCATTAGGTGTGTCTTTAGTTTTTAAATTTCTAGATAGAAGATAACTTTGTGTTTTTTTGTTTTGTTTACTTTTGGTGGTGATTTTGTTTGGAAGTAAGGATTGAACTCAAGGTCCACTGAGCTAGATCCTAGGCACCTTTTGCCCTTTTTGTTTTCTTATTGGGGGAGGGGGAGCAAGAGAGGGTCTCATTAAGTAGCTTAGTGCCTTGTTAAAGTAGCCTCAAAACTTGCAGACCTCCTGCCTCAGCTTCCCAAGTCACTGGAATTACAGATATGTGTCACCATGCCCAGAAAGAGGAAGATGTTCTAAAAACATTAGTGAGGAGAGAAATAGTTGCCTAAAAAAAAGATTAGCATCAGATTTCTACAACACCAAATGGCAAAGAAGAAAAACACCACAGAACAACATGCAGCATTCAGAAGCCCCCGAGTTCAATCCCTGGTACCCTACCCCTGCCAAAAAAAGAAAAAGTATAAATAATTGTGGTTACTCTGACAATGAATCTCAGTGTAAGTGTCCAGATAAACAAAAAATTAAATGCTTAATAATTTTAATGATTTTAAATTCAAGATTATTCCAACACAAATAGGGAAACAAGAGTTAGAAGGTAGGGAAGAGGTAAAAACATGCTAAATAAGTAATGTCAACAGATACTATGTTATTTTTAACTTGGAAGAACATGATTTTAATTTTTTTAATTTAGTGGAAACCCCAATGTTAAAAAAGAAGTTGGGCTGCGGTTGTGGCTCAGTGATAGAATGCTTGCCTAGCACATGTGAGGAACTGAGTTCAACCCTCAGAACCCCATAAAAATAAAGACGTTGTGTCCATCTACAACGAAAAAAAAATTTAAGTCAGTTTTTCCAGGTTTTAACTAGTAAATAAATCATTAAAATAACTAAAGATACTTGAATAAGATGCTAAAGAACAAAGGGGAATTGAGGAAGGGTTAATCAAAACAAAGCATAAAGTAGAGGAACAGTACCAAATAAATGTATTGATCACATATAATAAACACTATCGGGCTAGGGTTGTAGCTCAGCTTGCCTCGCACATGTGACGCGCTGGGCTCAATCCTCAATACCACGTGAAAATAAATAAAGATATTGTGTCCATCTACAGCTAAAAAAAAAAATGAAATACTGCATTACCAAACGATTTTTAAATGATCCCAAATGAATAAAACCAAACTTACACAGGCAAATGCAAAGAAGCCAGTTATGGCAGATATATGCCAAAACATAATTCTGAAGAAAAGGCATTAAATGCGATGAAGAAAACAAGATAAACATCAGTCATGAAGTAATCTTCAAGTGCCAAATAATATATCTCCAAATGAAGGGGAAAATTTAGACATACAAAGAGAAAATGAAGATTATCATGGGAACAGTGAGACTGTCAATGTTGGAAACAGGAATTAATCTGCACAAAAGAACAGTTACCTGGAACTTTAGCATCCTCTTGTAAGAGTGAATCCTGTTAAAGAAAAGTTCTCAGAAGGTACTTTCCTTTAGCTGAGGACCTTGATTTGGGGATCTATAAAGATAAACCTGGAATTTGGATAGGGGGATCTTAGTAAGTTTGCTTAAGAAAGGCAAGAATTTGAAATTCTTGGGGTGGTCCAGGAATTGGAGGCTGAGGAGAAGAGATGGAGAGAACAAAAGGAAAGAGAAACATAGCAACATTGTGTGAGTCCAAGGTCCCAGCTGGGGTAACATGGCCAGTGAAGACCCTGGCAGTGCAGTGACTACGATGATTTTAGAAAGAGATGTTTGCTATTTCAGTTGGCACCCTCATTCTTTTGTCCTTCCTAGTATTTATTCACTTGTTTTAAATTTTCAGACTAATCATTAAAATTAACTTCACTATCATTATCAGTAATTAAATCTAAGTATCAGTTTTCAGTATTTATCATTGTTTATATTTCGTGTCTTTGATTTTCTTTAGTTCTTTACATTAATTTAACTTGGCTGAAATATTTCCTGTTTTTTTTTTTTTTTCCAGAAAAGCTAAGTTAGGGATATGCTTTCTAATTCTACTCTTAGTTTAAAATTGCTTTTTTTTTTTTTTTTTTTTTTTTTGCCTTCACACAAAGTATAATTTTGGTCACAATTCTTTTTCCACAGAACTCTTAGCTTCTGATGTTTGCTACTGCTGAAATGTTTCAACACTGGTCTGGGTTTTTAAATTATATATAAACTTTTGTTTCCTATTTGTATGTTTATATGGTTTTAATATTTTTTAGTTTTGTAGTTGTAAATGGATAAAATGCCTTTGCTCATTTTTAAGCAGTGCTTCACATGCTAGGCAAGCACTCTGCCACTGAGCTAAAGCCCCCACCCCTGTTTACAGGGTTTTATTTTTATCTTTGCAAAAAAGAAATTTTAGTAAGTCTAGCTGTTTTCATTTTTTTTACCCACAACCTTGTCTTTTATTATTAAATACTTTTAATCTTAAGCCTTCAACAGATGTTTTATCTCTTATTATGGCTGTTCCTCCATCACTTTCTTTCTCTCACTTTGCAATATCACAAATCAAGCCTCTCTCCCTGAACAGTATTTCAGAAATAGTGTAGAGTTAAATACGAGAGTGGCATAGAAATGGCACTAAGTAGGGCTGGGGATGTGGCTCAAGAGGTAACGCGTTCGCCTGGCATGCGCGGGGGTGTTGGGTTCGATCCTCAGCGCCACATAAAATAAAATAACGATGTTGTGTCCACCGAAAACTGAAAAATGTTAAGAAAAATAAATGGCACTAAATAATATTAGCTCCATCATCTCTGACATTAATTCCCTTAATGTGTATAAACCCGAAAAAGTAACCACCAATACTGCCCTTTTGTCCCCAATTACTTAAATGGCTCTAAAAAAAACAATTCCATGGTAACCAGGTTACTGCATTAAACTTCAGACCATCTCCTTAATTTCTTGTGTGTGTGTGTGTGTGTGTGTGTGTGCGCGCGCACGCGCGCATATACAGAAAAAAAAACAAGAGAGCTCTATATATCTATATCACCTATAGATAGATACAGAGATATACAGAGAGGGAGAGAGACTGATGCCCTGAGCATCTATGCTCAGCCATTATTACTGCAAATGGGCAAATCCAACCTCACTGAGACTCAGCATTTGGGGAGATTTTTGTTTAGTTGGTTCTTTAGTCTTTTTTTTTTTTTAATCTATAAATAAAGTAAATGTCTTACCTGCCTGTTTCTTTGAAAAGTTCCATTGTAAATATGGAATAAACAGCCACTGCTAATATAGGAATGAAGGTATGTTTAGTTGAACAGAAATGCTGTGAAGTAATGCTTTGCAATTGAAAAGGTTAAAATATGTTATTCAATGACATATTAAGTAAACCAGACATTTGAAAAACAGCAGGTTCAAAACGATCGTTCACATTTTTAAAAAAAGGAAATTCCCCTGTGAAAGACACTGTCCTTACTCTAGAGGATTCCGTACAGATTTTGATAATAACTCATCTTTTACGCCTACCCAAATGATTTAGTTGCTTCTTCACACTATTATTTGTATAATGCAGTATATAAGTAACTGGCCCTGCTTCTTTGGATCTTTATTTTTTTGTTAAATCTACAGTACGACATTAAATTTGCACTATCCGTTTCTCCTTTTAATCCACCTTATGTCACTTTAATTCTAGGAGCCAGCTGGAACTCTTAAGAAAATGAAGGTAGTGTGTTCCTCTCCCTACACATCAACAAAGCATACAAAATCATGATTAATTTTAGTCTATAAGATGTCCTTCAGACGTTTTAAAAGGTGAATAGTAAAGTTTCTAACATACAGTACATTGAAACGCAACTGCCAAAAATTTTGCTAATTCCTTCACTTTAAAAAAGTTCAATCTTGGACTGGGGGTACAGCTCAGTTGGTAGAGTGCTTGCCTGGCATGCACAAGGGCCTGGGTTCAATACCTAGCACAAAGAAAAAAGAAAGAAAGAAAAGAAAAAAAAGTTCAATCTGAGGGAAGTAGGAGTGGAAACAAAATTAAACAAAAAAAAACATTTCCTTGCCTGCTCTAACTTGTATTTCCGCTTCATACTACACAGACTCCCATCAGCTTACAGCCTTCACCCACGGGCGAGCGTAAATAGTATCACCCAACTTTGGTGTGAAACGGGGAACGAGGAAATGTTTAATTAATTAATAAAAAATAAATGATAATCCACGCCCCTAAAGCACTCCAAAAGGAGAAAAATGGAAAGGAATCGTTTTCAGTCTTCTCGCGAGAAGAAAGGTTAACAAGCCACGTCAATCTAGACGTCACGGCTCCGAGTGACAGGTGCTGGAACAAACCGGCGTTGAAAAGCAGCGAACGCAGGGCCACTTTGGTGGGCCGGAGTTCCGCCGGAAGAGCGGGTGGTTTCGTAACTTCCGGCTGATTTTCTGTGGGCGGAGTCTGTGCAGTCTGTGGACATGGCTTGCGCCGCCTCACGGTCCCCGGCGGACCAAGACAGGTGAGTCCTGAGCTGGGGGCCAAAAAAAGGGGTAGGGGGCCTTGCTGCGATGCCGCAGATGCTGGGCCGCAATTCCCCACCCCCAGATCTTGAGAAGGACTTGGCCCCCTGCGCTCGACGTGAGCCTCAGACTTCACGTCGTCTTTCCCTGGCCGGGAAGCCTGCAGTACGAAGCTTTTCGCAGGGTCGCTAAATTCCCGAGCCTAGGTATCTCAGTCTTTGTATCAGAAAAAGAGGATTTGAGGTGCTACGAGGTCATGAGTTAGAATAACAAAGTTTTTAATACTCCCTACGCTGTGCTTTTGTTTAGAAAGCTGGACTCCACCCTCGGGAACTTTTGACGGGCAGCTTTGCTTAACGTTAACAGTTACCGTATCGGTTTTTGTTTTCGTTGTTGTTTTTAACCTTCTCTAACAATAGTGTTCTATTTTTCCATAAGGTAATGAATAGTTTTCTTTTTAAGTGAATTAAGTAAAAGGCAATTTAAATAAAAACTATTAATTAAGCAATTAATAGTGTAAATGTCCCTGCCACGAAGATGGTGACTGGAACACCGCTCTAGTTATAACAGCTGTGCTTCTTTCTTCTGTGTCAGGTTTATTTGTATCTATCCTGCTTATTTAAATAATAAGAAGACCATCGCGGAGGGAAGGAGGATCCCCATAAGTAAGGTGAGTGGTGACTGGTATCTAGGACAGGGAGGTTGTCCTAACGGGCCACAAAGGTTTCTTTTACTTCACTTCATTTCTTTAAGGCCTAAGGAGAACAGCAGCCAAGATTAGAGTGCTTTCCTTAATGTTGATGAAGCCGGAAAGACGCTGTTGCATAGGTTGAAGGGATTTTTGAAACAGTTCTTAATGAACCTGTGTTTGTAAAGAATAAAATGGGGTGGGGGAGTGTCTGTTTTAACCATAATTATGACAGTCTTCACCAAGAATTGAACCCAGGGGTGCTTAACCACTGAGCCACATCCCCAGCCCTCTATTTATTTTTTGAGACAGGTCTCTCTAAGTTGTTTATGGCCTCCCTCAGTTGTTGAGGCTGCAGTCTTCCTGCTTCAGGCTCCCTAGTGGCTGGGATTACAGGCATGTGCCACCCAGCTCTGCAGTTTAAAGAGGTAAATTTACTTTAGTACTTTTTAAAAGGGAAGAATCAGGTCCTGGGGATGTAGTCAGTGGTAGAGTGCTTGCAACAGGAAAAGGGGGGATTTTGGATAGGAAAACTCAAGTTTTCAGGTGGTCTGTTGGCTTCAGTTTGGAAATTGCCCAATGCCAAATTAAAGACATTCTTACTTGTTTTGTTTTGTTTTGTTGTTTGTAATATGGATTGAACCCAGGGGTGCTTTGCCACTGGTAAAAATTATTTTTTTAAGAAATTATTTTTAATTTTTGAGGCAGGGTGTTGCTTAGTTGCTAAGGCTGGCCTCAAACTTGGGATCCTCCTGCTTCAACCTCTCCAGTCACTGAAATTACAGGCCTGCACCACCATGCCCAGTGTGTCATAGTATATTTTTATTTTTATTTTGGGGGTGGGGACCAGGGATTAAACTCAAGGGCACTTGGCCACTGAGTGACATCCCTAGCTCTATTTTGCATTTTATTTAGAGACAGGGTCTCACTCAGTTGCTTAGTGCCTCACTTTTGCTGAGGCTGGCTTTGAACTCGTGATCCCCCTCCTGCCTCAGCCTCCCGAGCTGCTGGGATTACATGCCACTACTAGCCATATTCTACATTTAAAGAGTCATTTACATTGTATAATCTAATGGCAAGTTTAAGGCAAATTGGTCTGAAGCAATGAATTAAATATTTTTATATTATTTAATGTCTCTCATTTTGCTGCTTTTTCAGTGTGTAAAGTCTACTTTGCTGCCTCAGGTGAAAAGAGATACCAAAGCACTTGTTCTGGAATAATGCCCTGTCAAGCCACTGCGACAGATTCTGTCAGAAGAATGGCTGAATTTTTTAAACTTTATATATAACATATAAATTTAATAATTCAAGCAATTTTCACAATGGGAGTACATCTGGGTAACAAGCCCACAAATTTTAAAAACATTATCAGCTATAGGAAGATTTCTTATGTCTTTTCCCAGTCAGTGTCCCCTCCACATATGTTCTCTTATATAAGGATAACACTATCCTGATTTCCAGCACCGTACATTATACTTGCTTGTTCTTGAATTTTATATAAATAGGATTATTTGCTGTGTACTTTTATGTCTTCTTTTCACTGAACTTTAGGCTTATAAGATTGGTCCACATTTTTGAGTGTAGGTTTTTGTTTATTTTTTATGTTTTTTTGCTGGTGATTGAACCCAGTGCCTTGTGCATGCTTAAGCATGTGCTGTCCCCCTGAGCTAACCCCTAAACCCTTTGAGTGTAGTTTAATTCCCATTGCTCTATAACAGTTTCCCAACAACAACATCATTGACATTTTGAGTCAGATAATTCTTTATGTAGTGGTATGTCCTGTGCATTTTATAATGTTTAGCAACATCCCTGGCCTCTGCCAACTAGATGATAAATATCCATCTCTTCTAGTTATCACCAAGCATAGCCAAATGTCTGAAAAGTGGGGAGGAAAGTAAAATTCCCTTGCTGGAAACCACTACCAGCAGTATACTACATTCCTTTGTTCTCTTGATGGATTAATTAGGTTGTTTCTAATTTGGGGGCTATTACAAATAATGCTGTGAGCACTCTTGAGCTTGTCTTTGATGAACACATTTTTTTATTTCCATTGGGGGGGGGGAAATATACACACACACACACATACACATAGGATGAAATTTCAAGGCCATAGGGAAACATAAATTAAACTTTATTAGATACTGCTTCTTAAGTGGTTATATGTGTTCAACCAGTCAATATTCATTAAGCACCTACTATAGTCAAAGTACCAATCTAGATGTTAGAGAAAATACTGGTGAATAAAACAAAGTCATTGCCCTCGTTAAATTTATGTTCTGATTGGAAGAAAGACACACAAGTATGAATCAGTGTAATTCCCAGGGATTTTTAAAATTAAAATTGAAAACACTGTACCTAGTAAGAAAAGATAGGGTTTACGTAAATCTTTGTTTTGTTTTGTTGTAAATGGCCAGAGTGCCTTTATTTTATTTGTTTATTTTTATGTGGTGATGCGGATTGAACCCAGTGCCTCATACATGCTAGGCAAGTGCTCTGCCATTGAGCTACAGTCCCAGCTCCTAGGTACATGTTTTGATCATAGTATTTAAAGTGATTTATACAACTGTATAACAGTATTCTCTTAAAGCTAAGCTATTTAATGTTTTTGTTTTTAACTGTTCAGGCTGTTGAAAATCCTACAGCTACAGAGATTCAAGATGTATGCTCAGCAGTTGGACTTAATGTGTTTGTTGAGGTATGATGTGATTCTTCCTTCACTATTTTCTGTACTCATTGATATGATGACTTTCTTAAAAGCCTGTTTTTGTTTTGTTTTATTTACATTAGAAAAATAAAATGTACTCTAGAGAATGGAATCGTGATGTTCAATACAGAGGCAGAGTCCGGGTCCAGCTCAGACAGGAAGACGGCAGCCTCTGTCTTGTACAGTTCCCATCACGTAAGCTTTTTTTAATGAATAAATAAACTTTAGGAATATGTTTTTCTTCTATGACACAACAGAGGTTCTAAAACTGACCTTTTGAAAGGTATAAATGAATTTACATTCTACATATTAATTTAGAGAAAAGACTATTGCTTATGGAAAGAGGTAAACAGTAGTTTTAATTTCTTTTAGGTTAAGAATCTCTGAGAATGTGATGAAACTTACTAATTATATGATGAGCATTTTATAAACTTCTAGAAGACTGTCATTGCTCCCAGATTAAAAGTATAAAGTTAGCCAGGTGTGGTAGCGCTTGCCTATAATCCCAGTAGCTCAGGAGGCTGAGGCAGGAAGAAAATCATGAGTTTAAAGCCAGCCTCAGCAAAAGCAAGGTGCTAAGCAACTCAGTGAGACCCTGTCTCTAAATAAAATGCAAAATAGGGCTGAGAATGTGGCTCAGTGGTTGAGTACCCCTGAGTTCAATCCCCGGTAAACACCCCACCCCACCCCCCGCAAAAAAAGTATAAAGTTAATAAATCAGTGAATGTTAGTTACTATTTCAGATCCTAGAGACCTCTGAAGTCTGTTAATAATAATTTCTCTTGTTAATAAATCTAAAGAACAACATTGAGTGAACAAAAATATGTTCATAGTACGGTACCACTTCGGTAAATTTAAAGATAAAAATTGCTATTTATTTAAGATGAATAGGTATATTATTTGTAGAAATGTTTTAAAAATGTACCTGAAAGCTGGGCGGGTTGGCGCATGCCTGTAATCCCAGCAGCTCAGGAGATTAAGTCAGAAGGATTGCCAGTTCAAACCCAGCCTCAGCAAAAGCAAGGCACTAAACAACTCAGTGAAACCCTGTTTCTAAATAAAACACAAAATAAGCTGGGGTTGTGGCTTGGTGGTTAAGTGCCCCTGAATTCAATCCCCAGTACCCCAAATAAACTGTACTGGAAAGACCCCACTTCTTTTTTTTTTTTTGTATTTTTTTTTTTTTAAGCAGTGGGGTGGGGGTGGGGAGTGGAGAGTTTAGGGAAGTCTTAGCATCATCTCTAATACTTTATTTGGGGTGGGGGGACAAAAAAATCAAAACAAAATTAGACACCAGTATAACAAACTATTAGTTCTGAGTATTGGTAAGGTAAGTGTTTATATGTTATTTATTTTTCTGAAATTTTGTTTTATTTTTAATTTTAAGAAATGAAACTATTTAATTTTTTTCCTTCAGTTTAATTAAACTCTTCTGTTTAATTCAACTAAAAACAATATGACAGGAAATTTGACAATGTGATTGTTTTTAGTCAAATTCAGATTGATTGGTTCTTTTTTTTTTTTTAAGAGAGAGAGAGACAATTTTTTAATATTTATTTTTTAGTTTTCGGTGGACACAACATCTTTGTTTGTATGTGGTGCTGAGGATCGAAACTGGGCCGCACGCATGCCAGGCGAGCGCGCTACGGCTTGAGCCACATCCCCAGCCCATTGATTGGTTCTTATATACCAAATTCCATCAGGATTGGTAGGTATTGTTATATATTAAGATTCTGACTCAGATGTGACAGATAATACATTCCAACATATTTTTTTCTTCTCTTTGACATTTTCTTATACTCTCTCAAAAGACCAAAAACAAGCAAAAAGAGCTTTTGATTTGAAAATGGAAGTAAGGGCTGGGGATGTGGCTCAAGCGATAGCGCGCTTGCCTGACATGTGCGGGGCGCTGGGTTCGATCCTCAGCACCACATAAAAATAAAAAATAAAGATGTTGTGTCTACCGAAAACTAAAAAATAAATATTAAAAAGTAAAAGGAAATAGAAGTAAAAATTGTGGTTGAAAAAAAGGTTGCTTCTTATTTCTAATTAGATAATAGTCACTAAAAAAGAGCAAAGCTGGGGAGCTTCGTTTATTGGAGTAGGGAAAGTAACTGGTTGGGGTGGGCATAGCAGGGGTGCATGTATGTATAGATTGTCTGGGCATATGAATAAGATCTGTTTAGCTTAATGACTTTTTTGTTGTTGTTAAAAGGCTGAGAGACCCTGTGTTTCAGAAGCTTAAGTTATAATGATAGTCTGACTCTTATTTTTAGTTTGTTGTATTTAGATATGTTCTTCATTGATCTTTCAGCCAATTACTAGAACCAAGATCATAATTTTTTTGTTTTTTGTTTTGTTTTGTTGGTTCTGGGGATTGAACCTAGGGGCACTTTACCACTGAGCTACATCTCCAGCCCTTTTAATTTTTTATTTTTATATTGAAACAGGGTCTCACTAAGTTTCTGAGGCTGGTCTCAAACTGGTAATCCTCTTGCCTCAGCCTCTCAGGTTGCTGGGATTGGGACTACAGATATGCATTATCACACCCAACAAAACAAAGAATTTTTGTTTCAAACTTAATGTTTTTATTTTACTTTGTTCACGTAAATATTTTTTTCTTGCTCTCAGTATTTTCTCCAGCAAAAGCACTGATTTGAGCAAGTTACTGTCTTTATGATCATTTGATTATTTAAAATGTCTTCCCATTTTCTTGATGTGGCAGTTTCTTAGACTTTACGATATTCAAGTTAATGATCTTTTATGTCTTATTTCTTAGATTATATACTAAACCTAACTTCTGGTTCCTAGGTAAATCAGTAATGTTGTATGCAGCAGAAATGATACCTAAGCTAAAAACAAGGACACAAAAAACAGGAGGTGGTGACCCAAGTCTTCAGCAAGGAGAGGGAAGTAAAAAAGGGAAAGGAAAGAAGAAGAAGTGATCTGGTATGAGCATCAAGTATGTGATCCTGCTATAAGAGACATGAATGAAGAAGACTTCTTTGTATCTGAGGGAAACAGCTTTTTGTTTTCATCATTTGACTGAACTGGGAACATTTATACCTCCCATCTTCATCATCAGAGTTGACAATGAAATAAATAAATCAGAAGTTTGCATCTAACATTTGTACAGTATAAAAGACAAGATATTTGTTGCTTTGGAGGTTTTGTTTTGTCTTTCAATTAAGAGGTTTTGTGGATAAAAGAATATTTTTAAATGGCAGTAGACTGTCTCATAAGTTACTTGAAATCCTGTTTGTCCTCTATGTCAGATAAATGTTTAATAAGATTTTAAATACACATTTTGTTCATCTTTTAAGTTAATGAAATAAAATTTTCAAACTGCCTATGACTTTTGCTTATGAAGCAATTAATGCCAGTAGAGGAGGCATTAAGAGAGTAAATAGGTAGTGTAAACTTGGACAATGCGACCCTACAAGAGAAGAAAATAGTAACTCTTCTTATAGGGGGAGATCAATGAACAGTCAGTCTGTAAATCATTCTTTTAATACTTTACAGTAATTGTTCAGTTTCTGGGGGTTTTGTTTGTTTGTTTGTTTATTTTTTCTGTAATATAGAAAGTCCTTAAGCTTTAAATTTGCTGATTTTATATTATCTTAAGGGCTGGGGTTATAGCTCAGTGGTAGAGCACCTGTCTTGCATGTGTGAGGCACTGGTTTTGATCCTCAGCACCACATAAAAATAAGTAAATAAAGATATTGTGTCCATCTACAACTAAAAAATATTTTTTAAAAATTATCTTGAACTGAATTGGAAAAGACCTTTAGAATTTCAGAGTACTTTCTAAAAGTGGTGATTTTAAGTTATGCGAGTTCCTATTCTTCCTAAGGACTGATTTAGCTCTTCCTTGAATTCTATGAGCTACTTCATATACTCCAGAAAATCCCATTTTCTGTAATTTTTATTACTTGTGATCAAACAATCCTGATTCCAAACAAGCAAACCCCAAGATTCTAGCTACTCAGAAACCTGAGGTGGGAAGATCACTTGAATCTGGGCTATATAAAGAGATTCTGCCTAAAAAACAAGAATATGGGGGCTAGGAGTGTGGCTCAGCGGAAGAGCACTTGCCTAGCACATGCGAGGCCCTGGGTTCGATCCTCAGCACCACATTAAAAAAAATAAAGGTATTGTGTCCAACTACACCTAAAAAAAGAATATTTCCATTTGTTTAATATTTTGCTCCTTAAAAATTTTTATATAAACATAAGTACTGGAATTGGGGAAGTATGTGTAAAACATGATTCAGGACTTCCCTCTTTGGAAAAGTAGATCTCTTAGGAATATGGTTGGCTGTGAAATAGAAAACAATGAGTAATATAGGCAGGACCTTTTTTTTTTTTGGCTGGTGGGAGGGAGGTGTAATCACTGAGGTACATCCTCAGCCCTCTTTATTACTAAAGTATTTACTTTTAGATGAACACACAATATCTTTATTTTTGTGTGGTGCTCAGGATCAAACCCAGTGCCTTACACATGTGAGGTGAGTGCTTTACCACTGAGCTACAGCCCCAGCCCCCCTTATTATTATTTTGAGACAGAATCTCGCTAAAGTTGCTGAGGCTGGCCTCAAACTTGCTATCCTGCCTCAGCCTCTCAGGTTGCCAGGATTACAGGCATGTAGCACCACACCCATCTATGACTTTATTGTTTTTTTAATAACATGAAACCCAAAGGAGATTATTCTAGTTGGTTCAGCTCTTAGTGATGCCCTTTGTGTCTTTCTACTTTACTGTCCATGGCATGTTCCTAAGATTCTTATATTTATTATAAGAAAGGGCTGACTTGGCACCAAACTTATTACATAAAGTGCAAGGCTAGCTACAAAGCAAGCCAGAAACAATGGTCCACACCTGTAATTCCAGCGATGTGGGAGACTGAGGCAGGAGAACAGCAAATTCAAGGCCAGTCTCAGCAAGTTAGCGAGACCCTGTCTCAAAAAATAAAAAGAGCTGGAGATGTAGGTA